GCCAAATAGTGCCTGGCAGTCGAAAAAAACACAAAAAAACCCAACCAAACAAACAAAAAAAGAAGCATTCATTGTATGCAAAATGAGTAAATTACTGGATACAAATATTGCTACTAAAGATGCAGAAAATATAGGTTTAAAATAGTTTATGTTTTAAATTATTAACAGCTTATTTCAAAGTTGTGCATTCTCCCCTAGTTGACCTAGTTGCTTAATTAAAGCTGCCCAAGCAGTTAACACCTGGCGCATCTTTTGACAGACAAAAAATCAAAGCAGGTAAGTAGTGTTCATAGGTAGGTCTACAAATGATTCATGTGCCCTAAAGTTCTTAAAACATAAGCAATACAGAGTTCTTTGCATGTGTAGGAAGCACTGGGGTCTTGAAAACAGAATGGGCGGAGGCTTGGGGACAAATGGATGAAATGAGATAATACAAAGCATTCAATTCAGTACTTGGCTCCCAGCACCTTTGTGCTAATTAGGTAAAGACCTCTCTGGACAGATGCAGCCCTGCAGGCCTACAGTTTGGCAAGCTGAGTGGGGATTGGATTACTGTTCCCAAGCTCCCTTGGGCAGCAACCTTGCACAATGAACAACCTGCAGAACAATTTTTGGAGGCCCTCCAACTAGCTGTTGTCATCGAGAGACAGCATGACAGAGTGAGTAGTCAGCCTCCCCAGCTTACCAGTGGGTACCTTGTAACAGAGTAATCTTTCCGTGGCTTGGTTACTCACTTGTAAAATGAGACAATACTAATATTCCCCTCGCTGGGTCATTATGCAGAGTGAATGACTGAATGTATGTAAAACACATAGAACAGTGCATGGCAAATGTATATATTCCATAAAACGTTAGGTATTGTTATCAATATTAGACTATTTCTCAATAACAGACAAGGCAGAGTGGTATCAACTCTTTGACAGTCTTGAGGCATGGGGTTTAGGATGGTAAGGCTTTGAAGGAAGGGTGGTGGTGGACACAAAGCTCCCTGTCTTGCAGAGAAGTAGGACCAATGAAACCCTACAAAGAACCATGCAAATTTAGGGGCATGAAATTCTTCCTTGGAACTCCATGAACTTATACACCACCTCCATTCCAATGACTTCCATCTAGATGTTCAATATGTATTTGTTGGTGGGTTTTTAAAGTAATTTTAAATGTCTAAAATCTTTGCTCTCCATCCAGAGCTGCCGGCTGGTTTGTTAGTACTGCTAGTTTATACTGAGGTCAAATGAGGCAGTTTTCTCAGTCTCTTCCTCTGACAAGATTATTTACGTGTACTTTTCCAAATACTGCAGCATTCTTTTCTTTTAGCTTTCCAGACTGAACTTTTAGTTAATTAATTAATTTAATTGAAGTGCAGCTGATCTACAGTATTAGTTTCAGGTGGTCAACATAGTGATTCAGTATTTTTATAGACTATACTCCACTTAAAATTATTACAAAATAATGGCTATATTTCCCTGTGCTGTACAATATATCCTTGTTGCTTATTTATTTTGTACATTGAGGTTTGTATCTCTTAATCTTTTACCCCTATCTTGCTCGTCCCCCTCCCCTCTCCTCGCTGGTAACCACTGGTTTGTTCTCCGTATCTGTGTGGGCACTTAGGTTGTAAGTTCTAATACTAAACACAAGGGGGCAGCGTTCTGCCACTTATCCCTGCCCTGGCTCCGTTCAGACACCTGATTTTCATGAAGTGCTTTTTTTTAAGCCTGTCTTAGTTAAGGAGGCAAATCCTTATTCCTTTAAGACTCAGGCTTGCTGTTTTTCTTCACTACTGCCTGGAATATATACCTACCCTTCTGTAGAAATAAAATTGAAATCTAAAAGCCTGACTGTATTTATATCCAGGACATGTTAATAGGGAGTTTAAAAAACAACAAAATACTTAAACCAAAGCATTTTAGGCTGGCTATCCCTCTCTACTGGGTAACATAAAATATAATGATATTGCCATTAAGGTGATTGTCTGGACTCTCTTAAACACTAATTTGCTCTGTTAATCACCATAGATCCTTTCCAAAGGTAATTGCTAACCCTGAATACTTCATTCCACAAATATTTACTAAGTGCCTTCTATGTGCTAGGGATTTTTCTGGGGATTTAATGGAACCCAGACAAGGGTTGTATCTTTGTGTTTAGACTGGTGATATTCTGTCAGGAGAGGGAGGGAGGGATATACCTGCCTGCAGAGGCTCGGCCCCTTTGAAAGCATATCTTTAAAACGTTTAGGTTTGTTAAGATGGAAGAGGATTTAGAGATTACCTAGTGGAAACTCAGATGCTTAGAGGGGCCAGACAGATAAATAAAATGGGCCAGTTGGGCTCTGCAATTAAGTGAAGAGCAGGTGTCTAATTTAAAGACCACTCTCTCCCAATAAGCTCAGGCTAGAATATTCTTCTCTCTTCTTTTTTTTTTTTAAACCCAAAACAAGACCTGCTCCCCTCAACACACACACGCCTTCTCCTAAAGTTACCAAACAGAAAGAACTGTTTTAAGGGAGGTGGATTCACAGAACCAGGAAGGGCAAGGAGTCAAGATAAATCACCTTGTCCTCCACCCCACCCCTCCCCCCCAATATTTTTAAACAAATATATTAACCCAAACCATGATAAATATTGAGCAATGCAAGACCACAACATGAACAGCGGCCAAAGGCTACGGTATAGGTGAGGTCGCTGTTTTTCTCCTTCCTCAAGGAATTTTCTAGGCCATTAAGAGAGCTTCCCTTTCTGAGTCTGGTTTTTCTAAGTCTCCTGTTAGCGTTCAGCAGGAACAGGGCAGTGTAACCATCTTCAGGTGCTATCGGAAGAGAAATGCGAGGTGTAGCTGTGTCTTCCTCCCCTGTCACTAGTGAATGTAAGATGGAGGCAAGGAGTCTCTGGGGCCAGATTTGTCAAGGGAATTCAGATGTTGATCTTTCAAAGAGAAGTCAGAAATCTGGAGTTTCATGGGGAATCTCCCAATTTTAGAGAGGTGCCAATGAATTATCTCAATGCTGTGAAGGCCATTCCAAGCTCATCTGAGAGCTAACTTTGCCTCATTTGTCCAGTAGCTTAACCTCTAACCTAATTAAATCCTCTAATTCTACAGATTAAATAACAGGCCCAGAGAAGTTAATGACTTGCCCAACATCATCACATAATCTGTATTTTTTCCTCTAAGTCATAAAATAGCTGAAAAAAGTGGAGGCAATGTCTTACAACTAGTGAGACAACTATTGTCAACTTAAATGAAAGGTAGGTGCGATATGAGCCAGCTACTTGGCAATGCTGGTGTTGAGACAATTCAGAAGAGTATGATTTATACTAACAATGAATGTAGTACCTAATGTGGAAAATGATGATTGCAGAGGGGCTAATGAGAAAATAAAAGATGCTCTGACTGCCATGAGTTACAAATCAGCACCGTGATGGTTCTATCAAATTTCAGTAAGTAACTATGCACACAACAGGGTATTGGAAAACAGCTGCAGGCTTACATATCAAGAAATTCTGGGCAAGTCAGACATTCCATTATTTCATAAATCTAATAAGAGAAGTGCATATGGAGTTTACTATTAAATTAAGAAAAAAATGGCTCAATATCACACAGGAAATACAATAAACATGTAGGTATTGCTAAAGAGCTCAAACAAATGAGGGGATGAAGGAACATTTAAGTGAAGCCAGTTGGGACTTCAAATTCTGGGGTCATTTCCAACATGTCCAGTGGTCATTTTTTTATATGGGGGCTAGAAATATTTTATACCATTTAAGAAAGTTTTTTTTTTTTTTTTTTTTTTTTTGGTCCGGGGGCCCCTCCTTTTTTTGCCCTTTCCCTTTTGGGGACCCGGCTCCGGGGCGCCAGACCCCAGGAGCTTGCGGACCGGGGCCACCTCGC